TTTTGAAAAATAGCACTTCAAACCAAACTTCTTCAGCTATTGGAGCAATGGAATAAACTTAATTGAAGTTCAATTAAGAACATTGAACTGTTGATGCTTATTTATATAAAACAAAACCTTTAATTACAAAGATAAATATTGTGTATTAAGCGAATGTCAAAACCAAATAGCCTTTCACCCCTCGATATATGTCTTTATTATTTTTAAGATAATGATGTTGTTTAGAAAAAAATCATTTAATAGTGACATTGAACTGCATTTGAATTTAAACATTAGTTTGTTTATGGAGCAGGAATAAAACAGGACATGGTTTCATTATTGATTAAAAACATTTGACAGTTTCCTCAATGTTCCTGAACTGGAAAGGTTTGCAACCCTTTTTGGGTATGGTGTATTAATAATTTATTTAGGTACTTAGATATGTTAAAAAATTCTACACATCGTAATATTACTACATAGTTTGGCTTTCAAAATGCAGTCCATGTACCTATTATTTTGAGGAAGTTAGGTGATTAGTAGTATTTCAGCATTCTTCGAAAATGTAGTGCATCAGAACATATGCTATAATTTTTTTAATACCTTATGTTAAGGTTGCAAAATTATGTTATGAAATATGCACCCACAAATAAACCATTGATAAATCAATCACTATTTTAAGACTAACAAAATATAAAAATTAAATTAAATGAAATGATCTAGTTGACTTTATTTAATTATAACCTTATACATTTTGGAACCTGAAGAAATCAGAAGCACTTAGGTGAGAAAGTTATCAGTAGGGTCCTTTACGATCGGACCAATATTATTTTTAAACTCCATGTAATTAGAAGTATCTGTGCATGTATTTTAAAAAAACAATGTTATAGTTAAATGTACTGTAATTAAAAAGTAAAATGCACCCACTTCCTTCTACTTGAAAGTTAAAATTTAGGTAGTAAATAAAACCAGAAGTCTAAACGATCCATGAAATTATGACATTGGAGGTGGATTGATCTAGGAGTTTCCGAAATCTTGCATGGCATAATGACTGAACGAAAAAAAAGACATGTATAGTAATCGGCATGAGTCGTGAGCCCTCGAAAAAGAGTGGGGGGCTGTCTGCGTACAATTAGGGTAAACTGAAATGGATCACTCACGTATTACCTTTTTTATAATTAAATTAACTTCGTTCAATTTGGGATTTAAAAATGTATTGGTAATTTCATAATAAATAACATATAAGCTAGGGGATAGTGTTATTCGCGTCCGTAGGAATTACCTAACCATAACCCTACACGTGTCCCCTGGATGGTGCCAAATGAATAACAACGCCGGGTCTCGAGCGGCGGTAAATTAACTCGACCAAACCAGCGAAAGCTTGGTCTATCAGTAGGAGTAGGAAGTGACCCCCACTAGCCGCAACCCTATAACGTCAGGATCGGTGGTCTTGGCTTCATTATCTGGGCCACGAAGAAGAATACTTCTATAAAAATCACCCCAAGTCCACGGTGAGACCTCGCGCCAAGGGACTGCATGGCTGATGGGAGATCAATTGATAGCGTTCGACCTCTACGGACATGGCAAACGTAGTTGTAGTCTGCCTTCTTAGGGAATAGCGTCACCCCTAAGTGACCTTGTACTTCGTCCAATACTCGTGAAAACAAAATTAATGAAAAACAAAAAACTAAAACAAACCCTACTATGATTCAATCAACCTTGCCTAAGAGCATGTTTACAAAAGCACGCAGCAACTCACTCGGTGCCATACCGCAAGACATCAACGTCCCTGAAATAATTATTTATTAGTACGTAGTTTAGTTTATTAATTAGTACGAAAGATCAAAACAAGCACGACTGGCAACAGGACAGAATTCCCCCAGCCAAAAGAAGGAGAGTGGAAACCAAATCCCCACAGAATGAAAAGGTAAAGAAAAAGCCTTTTTTTTTTTCGGGCCGAGGGCCGAACCTCCTACGAGGTCCCCGCGTCTAGGGTATGTGAGACTCAACGATCTGCAGGTGTGCAGATCGTTGAGAGCAGACCGCGGGCCCAAGGAATTTAGGGCCCACCCACTAAACGACTCCCCTGCACTCTTACACCCGGCGTCCGATCTCCGTCCGGGGTCAAAACCCGGTCAGAGTAGGGGGGTTCCCGCGGTCAACACTACAACCAGACACGCGACGCCACCCCGAGGACGCCCGACCGACGGGTCGTCGAGGCGATAGTCGACGACTAACGACGTCAGTCTCCGCGGTACGGCGGCCCTGCCAGGCCGCCCGGGCGATGCCGCTGGTGTCCCGGGATACCCCGCTGGGCCAGAACCAGCCTGCCGGGTCGGAACGCGATACACCGCCGACCGGGTTGCTCTTCCACAGTATGATCGGCGACGACAGCGACGACGAAAATGCGGACCGCATCACTTATGCAATTCCTACAAGATATTAATTCGATATTTTAGACAATGAGGAATCTACAACAGATAATAAAAAAATAGAAAAACCACCAAAACCTGGACCAATCTTTGTTACTGGTGTCCTGGATACTGTTTACTGGATGCCAGTAAAATGACAATTTACAAAACTATACTGCAGCCTGTATGGACATATGGTATACAGATATGGGGCACTGCCAGCCAGTAATGTAGAAATACTAGAGCGGTTTCAAAGCAAAACAATGAGAACCATATGCAATATTCCACCATAGATAAGCAACCAATATGTAAATCTGGATTTGAATTTAAGAACAGTGAAGGAAGAAATTGAAACATACAGCAAGAATTACCAATCACGACTTGAACACATTAATCAGCTAGCTGTAGAACTGCAGGGGGAGGACAGTCTAAGATACTCTCGCCTAAAAAGGAATATTATACCAGACCTAGCAATAAGTTTTGCAGATAGGAGATGAGAATTGTACCACTGGGGTCATAACTCGGCTAAGTCATCTTTTCCTGATAAAAATCTGACATCAAATTTGATTAATGTTTTTGAAGAAACAGATTGCTAAGTTGCAGGATAGAGAAAAAAAGAGTAATCTTCTTGTTCTATAATATATATATTAATGAATTGGTGTTCGTTAGACTCGCTAAAACTCGAGAACGGCTGGACCGATTTGGCTAACTTTGGTCTTGAATTATTTGTAGAAGTCCAGGGAAGGTTTAAAAGGTAGATAAATATGAAAATGCTCGGAATTAAATAAAAATAACAATTTTGTTTTTTCTTAGATGTGTCCCCCGTCGGACGGATTCCTTTTATACAAAAGTTTAGGTCTTATTTATCGATTGAGGCACTACGAAGTCTGCCGGGTCAGCTAGTTTCATAATAATTTTGACCGGGGTTTCGCTCGTATTAAATCAGAAATAACCCTATTATTAACCAATTTCCAAAAGTTTGTCAATTTATCGATTTGTGGTGACCGATATGGAAGAGCTACACAAATTTATATTATCATGCTCTAGATTTTCGACGATTTTCGTTCTGGTGCCCGAGAAACCATTTTTAATGTCTTTAAAATTAATATATATATGAATAATATCATAAGATTAATATACCTAAACCTATTTTGAATTGATAAGCTTGTAAGAGAATGTTACAGCTACTTTAGACAAGCCCACTGAGTTTCTCGCCGGATCTTCTCAGTGAGTCGCGTTTCGTACCTGGTGGTAGATTCTGCGAAGCACTGCTCTTGCTAGGGCAAGTGTTACCAACACTCCCGGCTTGAGCCTCGTGAGCTCACCTACACGTCAAGGAGAAACTGAAATAGCCTCTCAAGGCTATCAGCATAGGTAGGAAAAAAAAACTTTAGTCATGACCTATGGGACTTAGTGAAAAAGGTTTGAGTTTAATTTCGAGTGAGCTTGTGCGATATCGTACACCTTAGAACCCTACATTGAGTACTCCGGACCGGTACGAGTAATCGCCACGAGACGGGCATCCGGCGTCTTCTATGATTGTCAAGAAATTTCATAAGATTAATAAACCCGTCCAACCCGAGTCGACGTCACTCGTCTTATCGACGCGTGTGACGTGCTGCGTACCCAAATAAGTCTTGTAAAAAAATCCGTTATCTTCAAACAAGTAATAATCAATGCCCAAGACAAAAACAAAAAAAACACTTTTACTAAAAACTTTCAAATAATATTTAAATGTGGGTACTGTATGTTTTCGTTACAAGAAACAACAAAATAAGTTTTGAATATTTTTGTCTCGTGTAGTGAGTGGACAGTAGTTCAAAAGAGTAAGTTTAGCAACTATCTTGAAATAATCATCAACATGGTCACACTATATGTTTCGATCGCTCCTTCGTCATTAAATCAAACGGACTATGGAACTCTTTCATATTCCAAGCGATAGACAACTTCAAAAGGTGAAACCGGCATCCCCATCTGTCTACAAATCAAGCTATAATTAACTTATTTGAATATATTTTTATTTCACACTTGTATTTTTTTTATCGTGTTTCATTTTGTATTTTTGTGCAAAGACTTGTTACCCGTTAAGACTTGTTAACGGGCTCCCGGCCCACTTTGTTGTAACCGCCATCCACCTTATAACAAATAGTCTCAAGTGTAAAGTATAAAGGCTGCCGCACCCTTCAATCCGGTATAGCTGTTTCGTGGTAGGAATAGGCAGGCCGTAGTAATTGCGTGGTAGCAATACACCGTTCGACCGTACAATAAATTGAAATAATAAAATTGCCAGTTTCTATAAATAAATGGCATCCGAAATTTTTCTTCGCTTTTGCCTTACCTTATTTTAGCTAATGGGACTATTCCGTAATATACTAATCTTTGGCCTATTCCAGCTACGCGCAGACGGGATTTGTTAAGTACTTATACTCTAATTGCCTTAAAATAAGACATGACTTAAAGGTCTTAGTTACCAGGTCATAAAATCCCTTAAAAAAACATACTATACTGCTACTCTAAAGCTTAAAACTCTAATCTGTGATTTTGACATTTCAGAAAAAAAATAACCTATATACCCACATATATTAAGTGTATAATCTATGATACCCACTTTTCACTCGTTCACGTTAGCAGATTCTACTTTTCAAACTAAATATACATAGAGGTACTTTGGAACAGTATACCTTATTATTTATTTTATATATCATGATTTGGCATTATTTATCATGATTATTTTGGCAATACAGTCTATCGTAGGTACAGCTTTATAAATTTCTGGAAATTCAAACAAACTAAAGTTTGTCAACATTTTACTATTCTCTAACGAGAAATAAAAGAAAAATAACATGAGCAAAAACAATGGAACCGAAGCACCTGTTTGTAAAAAACCACGAATGTCACGTAAAGGAAGCACCAAATGTAAGTATGCTTATTATGTTTACTTTTGTAGTGTATTCACGAAGAGTGTGCAGCAGCTTAGGTGTGCAATCCGCATTGCTAAAATGCATGAGCTACGGTAATAACTTACTATCAGGTGGGCCGTATTCTCGTCTGCCTACAAAGACAACCAAATAACAACGACGGTGTCCAGTTGCCATCAGTTAAGGTCATTGTTTTTGAGATACTGTCTCTTTATACTTTTAAAACTTAACAAAAAACCTGAGCTGTTTAAATTATGACATCATGTCACAAGATAGGTGGAGACCTCCCTGGTGTGTTTACTGGAGTTTGAGATATGAATTTGAAATCTCATTTATATTGCAAAATAGCCCTCCTTTCAACCTGACTTACAATATAGCAAAATAACCAGGAAGTGTCTGCCCATCTCTTCCAATAATAAAAAAAATGTGTTCGTAAACAAAAAAAATTATAATGGGTTGGAATATTAATATCACATTAATCTACAGTAAATATAATTTTTTATTAAAAAATTGTTTGGTACCTTGATATCTTCTAAGTGATAATCAAATTGTTGTTCTAATGTGATTTAACTTTGTTTTATAGGTATAGTCTCATCAGACAATAACTGTGAAGAACTCAATTCTGACAAAACATTAAAACCCGTTAAAAGTGTAAAGCACTTAGCTAAATTTCGTTTCAAAATTGCTGGAGAACAAGCAAGTCTAGAAACTATAAATGTTGAAAGGGTACCATTAGTACTTACAGATATTCAACATCTTCTACTCCATTCCCTTTTAGGAAGCCTTAATTTATCACAGCCACCTCGGTGGTATGTTTTAGAAAAATGTGGCAAAATCACCCAAACTACTTGCTTAATTTTGGAAGGTGTTTCTGTTAAACACTTAGAAAACTATTATGAAGATCTAACTTGCTTAAAAACAATTTTTAATCATACCGTTGAAGTTCTCACACCATCAGTTTATAATGGCTCACTAGTTCAAGAACTAGCTTTAGTACCATTAACTGAACTAGAAAAAGAAAGCTTAATACAGAAATATGGTTCTATGAATTTAGCTCTCGAGGTTAGAAAAGATCTAATGGTCATGATGAGAGCAATTTTTCCAATTGTTGATCAGAGTGAAAGCACAAATGAAATAAGATGCAATGATAAATTTCCTAGAACACAACTTATTCTATCAGCTTGGCAGTTGTTAGAGGAAAATTACCCTGTACCTCTGAAAGGTAAATTGCAACACACATATTCAGATTATGTAATGAGTAAAGAGGAATATACACCCGTAACAGCAACCTCACCACTATTTGGTATAGACTGTGAAATGTGCATTACAAATGCTGGGTCAGAATTAACTCGTATATCTGTAGTGAATGAAAAACATGAAGTTGTCTATGAATCCTTGGTTAAGCCCTACAACGATATAACAGATTATTTGACACGATTTTCTGGAATTACAAAGCCAATATTGAATGATGTAACAAAAAGACTTGAGGATGTTCAAAAAGATTTACGAGAACTTTTACCATCAGATGCTATTCTTGTAGGTCAATCATTAAATGTAGACATGCATGCTTTAAAAATGATGCATCCATACATAATTGATACAAGCGTAATATTTAATTTTATGGGTGAAAGATCTCGTAAACCAAAATTAAAATCTTTGGTAAAAGAACTATTGAGAGAAGATATCCAATGTGGCAAAAATGGACATTGTTCTGTAGAAGATTCCTTAGCTTCATTGAAATTAGTGCAACTTAAACTCAGTAAAAACATTGAATATGGAGATGCAGTGCACACAAACAGAGAAAAATTTAAAGAAAATATAATAAAAATGGCACAGTCTGAACATTACACAATCTCAATATTCAACCGCATGATGGAACACAAGAAATCTTCTTTGATTGTTGGATGTGACAACATTACAGGGGATTACCACACATACTTGTCTCAAGCAAAAGAAAATATGACATCACAGTTAAAAAGAGGGAAAGGGATGTCTAAAAAAATTAAATTGAATACTGTTGATACAGTTGACGAAGTGATATCAACTCTATGTAATGCTGTTTCTGAATATAATTTTACTATGGCACATTTGAGATTGAAATTAGATACTTCAAATGAACTAGAGGAGATTAAAAAAATAGATAAGTGGATAAAAAGTGTGTGGAACAGTGTTGAGCAATCAGCTCTGTGTATAGTAGTGCTTGGAGGAACAACTGTAGACAATGGCGTTGCTATGATAAGAGTTAAAGGGTCTTGACATGCCTCATTCTATCGAAACTATCATTAAACGAATATCTTCATATGAAATTGTTTTATTTTTAATAGTAGTAATAAAACAGATATAATGATACATGTGCTAATAAAATCTGTGCATGATAAATCGTTATGAGAGCAATAATAAGCTTTGTCCCTTGATAATAAAAGCATGAAAAGAATTTCATAGTGAAACTGATTAATTCTATGTCTATCTGTCGTAGGTGCCTTTGGAGGCAATACTTCCTATTAATTAAACATTTCATTGTCATAAAACGTTTGATTTATTTAAAATTTAGTCGTCGTGGCCTAAAGGATAAGACGTCCGGTGCATTCGTATGTAGCGATGCACCGGTGTTCGAATCCGCAGGCGGGTACCAATTTTTCTAATGAAATACGTACTCAACAAATGTTCACGATTGACTTCCACGGTGAAGGAATAACATCGTGTAATAAAAATCAACCCGCAAAAATTATAATTTGCGTAATCACTGGTGGTAGGACCTCTTGGGAGTCCGCACGGGTAGGTACCACCACCCCGCCTATTTCCGCCGTGAAGCAGTAATGTGTTTCGGTTCGAAGGGTGGGGTAGCCGTTGTAACTATACTGAAACCTTAGAACTTATATCTCGAGGTGGGTGGCGCGTTTACGTTGTAGATGTTTATGGACTCCAGTAACCACTTAACACCAGGTGGGCTGTGAGCTCGTCCACCCATCTAAGCAAAACTCCAGACTATTACGTAACTCTTGCTCTTCACCAAGGCGCATACTTGACTTATATCATCTTATACGCTATCACGTTTTTTTTTCCATAATTATTCTGAATTTGAAATTTTTTTAAAAACATACCAAAGGGTTGACCAATAAATCAGCTTCAAAACTGCATAAAAACTTATTGCTCCACCTAACATTTATTTTTAGCTAGGGACAGCCAAAACTTATAGAGCAAGAGCCCGCGACAGCCAGACCTTCGTTATTTTATAAAAGCTGAAAGTTTCTCTGTGTATGTCTCCAACACAGGTAAGAACGACCCGCGATTATAGAGTTTCGATTGTGGTTACTTGGGCAGGTAACAGGCAGTAAAGGTATATAAAATAGTACCTTAAATTCGTTAAAGTATAAAGGATTTTTTTTTAAATATTTACTCCAGAATATCTTTAGAAATCACGATATCCGTTGCCGGACACTTTTTCCAGTTGTTACCCCCTGCCAGACACCCCTAAACTTTAATAAATTTTAATTATACTTTCGTTATACTATAAAAGCTAAATTTTATATATGTTACTTAGGGACTTATAAAAATATGTTACCCCAATAGCCGGACA